ATATTTTATCAGTGCTTTTGGGATTGAGGTCTATCATTTATTTATTCATTGATTGTATAATTATTAAAATTTTTATTATTTTTCCTTTTAATACTTTTGTTCCTTTTTTTTATATGTTCAAAGTGTGTTAACAGAAACACATAGTAATTTTTTGCTTTATGGCTTGAATTTTATTTATAAACAATCTTTGTTATAGTCAAATATACTTCAAAGCCTTCAATTTTGATTTTCTTACATGTTTGTTGCGTTTTCTTATTTTTATTTATTTAAGTTTTTTTTTTTTTGGTTCACTAAAATCTCTTCTATGTCTGGGGTTCTCTCCTAAGCAAGCAATAATGTGTTTTCCATTTTTGTAAATTTTCGTTTTGATTTTCAATCAAATCAACAAATAAATAGTCTGTCATAATAAAGCTGATTAAATCGTTTGTAGCTAAATGCGGGAACCAACCATTTTATTTGCTTTGCACGGAATGTTGAAAACAACGCGTATACGCCTAGTCCGCCTCGTGTTTTGGCTTGACGTCGCAGAAACATGCGCGTCGCGTGTGCTCTCGACTCAACGTCCGCGGTTCGACTGAGAAACAGAAGGCAGACAGGCACACACATACACACGCAAACGCACATACTCAGCTGTCAGAGGCTGTGCCGAGTGATGTTAGCTGAGTGTGCAGAGTTAACAGACGCTTTACAGTCGCTTAACAGCCACAGCAACAGCTGGGCTGCCGATTCATTCATAATTATTTTGAGTGAAATTCGGATCTTGGGGTCAGAGAATCTGACGCTGCGATTCAATTTACTTAAGCAAAAATGTGTCACTGGGGAACAACTGGCCAGCGCGTGTCCTAGACGTAGATATTAGGCAGACAATTCAGGACATGCCTGTGGCAATGTATATGCAAAGGGACCCATAACCCGTCTTGAAAATAAATGTTGACCTTTTTGGTAAAAATATAAAAAATAACATGCAAAGAAATAAATGCGCGTGAAATGTCAAAATCACGGTCACGGGAAGGAGAAACGAAAGAAAACCAGCCAAAAAAAGGGAAGAAAAAAAAACAGAGAAGAGAAAGATGACAACGCATAAGCAGAACACAAGCAATTGCCAATGCCAATGCCAAGGCAATCAAGAAAATTTGCTCCTACAAATGGCAAGGCAAATAAGAGAGCGAAAATACATGAAAGTCAAGTGTTTGCACGGACTGCTGCTGTTGTTACTGCTGCTGATGATGATGATGCTGGTGTTGCTGTAGCTACACCGCACAATACACACACCACAATCAACACACACACAAGCACACACTTACAGTCGCATACACACATGAGCTGTTTTGGGGCAGCCCAAAACAAACCGCAAGTATGCTAGCACTCTCATATTCCTGTGGGTTCCCTTACAGCTTTCCCCATTTTGAATTGCAACGCGGGGCTGCTTTTGGCTGCACAACAAAATGTTGCACTTGTAATCAAGGCTGGGTTGATTTGGCTTACAGTTAGGTTCATAGTAAAAATAAATGGCTATTCCCTGCTCGAACCGGGCTTTATCAGTAACCAAAAAACAGCTAAACAACTAAAAGCTTAAAATATTTTGAGAAGAACGGGCAATTATAAATTAAGATTATATTGACTAATTCAAATAAATGACAAGCCATGAGACTTGAACTCAAAAGCAGATTCATGAATGTAGAAAAGCAGGTTTACGAACAGAACATTAAGATATGGTGCTCGAACCGTGAGCTCACCATCCGAAAATGTATTTTCTAGCTTGTAGCCCTGCTTGTTATTGCAGCCACTGAAATAGGGCAAGTTCGGGCTGCTGGCTTTATCATGTGGTCTCAGTTTGTGTTGTGCTGACAATTTTTTGCATACCAACAAAAGTTATAACCCAAAGCTGGATTTATTGTGCTAAGATCTTAGGCAAACAAGTCCCAAATTAGACCACAGCCAGGGCACATGCACTGCTCCAGCTGTTGTCCCTCCCTCGCCTCCCCCAACTGCCGAATGGCGACTGTCTGTCTGGCTCCAGCTGTGCACTGCAGGCAGCCTGGGTTGGAAGAGGGAAGCAGAGGGATTTGTGTGTTGTGGGTTTATTAAACCAAATTGCACTCCCCCTGCCGCCAACCTTGTGTGTTATCACTGTTGTGCCTTGAATGCAACTTTTTGCTTTAACGTGTCAAATTGTCGCCTCAATGCTCAGAATCCTGATGGTAGATGGTTTCTAAGAGCAGAAAACATATTACTAGCAACTATATAACACAGACACGCATGAACAGCCGCAAGGCACACCTAGATTAATGTGTGAAAAATTACAAGTATTAGTAAATAAATATAGTAAATTCCCATAAATCATTCATTCTAAGGACAGAAATGGGAGAGTGTATTCATTAGTCAGACATATCCTGCATTTTAATCCAATGAAGAATTTTTCAAATAAAACGTATTCCAGATCAATATCAGCATGCCCTTCTGTCTGTTTTATGAACTCAATTTAAATTAAATTAAATTAAAAAATTGAACTTACGTTCAAGGTGAGACAACAATTTCGAAATATTGACATACCTATTAATGAGCAGTAGGTGGCATTTTCCCACAGTTAAGACCATAAATTTTCACGCTGAGCTCAAGCGGCCATTTCTGTCGGTCTCTCCATGAGTTCCGTAACATTTTTTACTTAATCAAACTTAATCGTATCGCATATTCACAATTCCATTGATGCTTTTCTGAACGCTGGCACGCCCGCTGACTTTCATGGAACTAGCCTCTTAATCGCTAGATCATATCGCCGCCATAAAAGCACAACAGCAACAACTTCATCGGTAAGTGTGTATGCGATTTAAGCATTTCTTCCGTATTCTGGCCATGGATGTTTGCTGGGGTATCTCTTTGAACCGTGCCTCTAGGCTGCCTACTGCCTATTGGTGTAGTATTGACTCGCTGATTATTTTTATTTGGTTCTCGCAAACGTTTCGATTGAGACATAAAACTATGCCGATGCCCTGCCTGCGGGGTAAATATAAACATTTATATACGATTAAGTGTGCTGTTTATTTTGATGTTTGGTTTAGTGCTTCCGCTCCTGCAGCTTCAACGAATTCTATGCCTACGTATGTGCTGTGGTGGGCTGTGCCCCGTCAGATATTGCGTATACGCCGCATTAAATCGTGCAGAATGAGATAGACAAACAGAGATGAGAGTTGAGCAAGAAAAAAACTCTCGGCAGATTAATGTCGGCGTGCTCGGAGAATACCCATACTGAAATTGAATTCAACTGATGTTCGGAGACACGGTAAATCAATAAAAAACTAATCAAAAAATCAAAAGCAAACATTGGGCATTTGTTGTACACCAAATTGAATGTCAGCAGATTTTCTATGTATATGTGTGTCTTTCGAAGATAGAAATTTCCTTGTGGCCAAGAAAACAAAAATATATCACAAAAAGACAAATTAACGCTCAGCATCAACCAAATTTTATTTCGTTGCAAATCCAAACCAATTAAATTGAAAGCATAATATGCCAATGTTGCCTGCCACTCAATTATACCCTGTAGGCACTAGCACAATGATTAGGCTTGCATAAAACATGCCGTCATTTGGAAGCCATTTATTTTTGTTTATTTATTTTTAACTGAATCTGTTGAACTTAGTTGCAAATGTTGACCAACTAGAATGACAGCGATACTGACGATGGTAGTCATTTACTAAAGCATGGTACACCAGTTTTTTTCATCATTTTCTGATTTTAATGCTACAAAATTGTTGTCCCACATTTAAATTGAAAAAATTGATTATTTGTTCGAACAAGGTGCTAGGAATCGATATAAAATATAAAGTCTAGGGTATCTGCTAGTAGAGTCCTTTTAAATTATTGTTTACTTGTAAAAGGTTTTTTGTTTTAACCATCCACTGTGACAATTTCGGTTATTTTACTTTTTTAATTTATGCAAATGCAACGCAGAGCATTCACCCACAGAGAAGGAGAGCGCCGGAGAGAAGGGTAGAAAGAGAAAGAGAGAGCGCGAAAAACTCAAGCCACAGGCTTTAATGCTCATTAGGGTGTTGCCCAAACCCACTAAGTACATTCAAGGGTAGAATATTTCGCAGTTGTAGAGCTGTGGAGCATGTATATTTACAATTGCTTATGTATAAAAACAAGAGCTCAGTCCGCTAAAATTACATTTTTATCTAGAGTTTATGTCGAGTGGAAAACCCGCAAGCTCGCAGAACCGAGACTCCAATTTCACGAATAAAGCCAGTTGCCATTTAAAATGCAAAATGTCTGGTCTTGGCGCTATAAGCCGACGAAATGCATGCAATTAATTTGAACTTACGACTCGGCATCTCGACTAACAACCGCTGTTGCATTGCGCGCTTTTCTCGGTTTGTGGATATTACGATATTTTAATGACGATGCAATCAAAGAAGAATTACAACCTTCTCTGCCGCTCAACAATTTAAGTCATTTTCTTTATCACTTTAAACAGAGAACATTCATTTTAAACAAGACGTTCTTGTCGGGAGCTCCCGACTAGGGGATACCCTGAACCCTCCTCTTCCAACATCAAATGCATATATAAATTCTATTTTAGAAGCTATATGTCAAGTCTGGTTACTCTAGCTTTTTTTATTTACCAAAATTTCCCAAAAAACAGGATATCGATATCGGTAAAAATCAATTGCTTGGAAACGGAGTAGGTTATCGATTATCGGAAATAAACTCGATCTGCGCAGGCACTAGAAGCACCTACATCTAAAATTTCAAGTCTCTAGCTCTTATAGGTTCTAAGATCCTTGCGTTCATACATACGGACAGAAAGACGGACGTACAGACTGACATGGCTAGATCGACTTAGCTATTGGTGCTGATCAAGAATATATATACTTTATGGGGTCGGAGATGCTTCCTTCTGCCTGTTACATACATTTGGATTTTGCAAACATATAATATACCCTTATACCCATTTTTAATGCGCTTAGGGTATAAAAATTTTCTATTAAGTTACACACTTTTATGCTATTTAAGCTATTTAATTTCATAATATTTTATTATGTCTTAATACTGGCACTGGCCAAGCTAAACTATCGATATGGTCAAGTTTTCGATTATTTGGTAAAGTTGCTCATTGGCTTACTGCCATCCTGTCTGTTCTGTCTATCTGTTATTTTATGTTCTCTTTGAAAATTGCAGCTTCCTAGCTCTTACGGTTTGGGCTGTAAGTTGGTCAGCAAACAGTCATGGACTCAGTTAGCCGTTGAGGCAGTTACGACATCAGTATTATATATTGACACTACTGTCATATATTTTAAGGATTTTGAGAAAACTTATAACAAAAATCTACTACTATAAGAATATAATGGAACTTGTAGAACTTGGTTCAGTGCAATCTTAACTAAGGAAGCGTGGAAGTCCAAGCAACTAATGCATGTCATCCCCTGAATTGGATGCGATCTCGATTTTCGCCTGTAAATTTCTGTTGATGTTGTCGACCATATCGAAGGCGTCGATAATCATCTCTGCCTCGCTTTGTGCCTTCTCGCTCATATGTTCGAGGCTGCGTCGCAACTGTTTGTGCTCCCCGCTAGTATCCCGCTGCTCCGCACGTTGAAAGAGTGTGCTGCTGGCGCGTGCAAAAAGAGCAGCAGTGCTGCTACCCTGCTGCAGTTGGTGATCCAACTCAGCGGGCAGCGGAAACTCCAGATCCAACGCATAGCGACGCAGCTGCTCGTACTTGGCCTCCAGTTGCTTCTGATCCTGGCCGTAGCTTATGACGACCGCTTGCAGCACCACTTCACTGCCAGGCAGCTGGATGTAGGCGATGACGTCCTTGAAAAGATTCTCCTGGCGCCACACCGTCTGGCTGTAGGATATGACCTGATAGACGACCGTTTCTGGCTCTGGGCTGTACTGCACCAGCAGCCAGGTGTGCTCGTCCATGGGCTCCTGGGCAGCATCTAAATGTTCGTCGAAAGCGTGATCAAAGCAGCGCGCCTTAAGGTGCAGCAGCACCTTCTCCATATAATCTCGCTGCTCGTAGGCGTACAGCACATGAGCTATACAGCCCGGACTCAGTTTGACAAGCGGCGTACCTCCTAATTCGGGCTTTGTGCTCAGCCAGACAACGCGGTGGGGCGAGATCATTTTCTGCACCAAACGCTTGCCCGCCGCATCCTCTTCGTTGTACTGCACCAGCAGCTGTCGGACATCGTCCTCCTCATCGCGCTGCTGCTTGCTCATGGATAGTAGCGCGGCGTCTACCAGCTTGCGTTCATCGGCGGCCAGTATGAGTTTCGCCTCCAGCTTGATGCCGTTGACGCGGAACTCAACAAAGCGCGTCATGTACTTGTCAGATACGTCCGTTTCCAGCAGCTCCATGCTGTGCAGAATGCAGAAACGCTTCTTACCATTCGGCTTGCCGTTCTTCATCGAGCCGTCGTCCACCTCGGCCAGGAACCAGGAAAGACGCGTTGCTGCCGCCGCGCCCGTATTGCCTGCCGCGCCACAATTCGCCGAGTCGTCCAAGCCACTATCGTTGCTAATGTTGCTCATGACTGTAATTTGGAATAGTTCTTTCTGTTGCTTTGCTCTCCACAAACTGATGCTCGATGCTTAACGTCGCGTGCTTTTAAGCGCCTGCCAGCGATCTCTTTTCCTACCAACGTCAGGTAGACTACCCTTTCCCGTCCCGGATTTATGACCGCCAGTTGCACGGATTTACCTAATTGTGCGTCGTGTGCTCGATGAGCAGCTGCGTAGCTTAGCGGCCATAAAAGATGATTTCGCCAACTCTTCAGGCATTCGACCTGTGTTTCACTATCCGTTACGGCATGCATGTATTGTCCGAATCGCTGAGGCAACTGAAAAAGGACGCTGTCTGCCGGAGGCAAATTTGGTTTTGTATCCTTAAAGCTATAATAAGTTTTAATAAAATTATAACTTATTTTATTCACGTGTATTAAACCCAAGCTTTAATTCTCGAAAATAGGGACACCACGAGCGAGTATAAAATGTCCGCACCAATTAAGCCATAATACTTATGCATTGATTATGAGTATATGCTTTAAAAATTAATCTATTAATAATACCCTGAACCCATTAAAAATGGGTATAAGGGTAAATTGTATTCGTGCAAAATCCAAATGTATGTAACAGGCAGAAGGAAGAATCTCCGACCCCATAAAGTATATATATTCTTGATCAGCACCAATAGCTAAGTCGATCTAACCATGTCCGTCTGTCTGTCCGTCTGTCCGTCCGTATGTATGAACGTAAGGATCTCTGAACCTATAAGAGCTAGAGACTTGACATTTTTGATGTAGGTGCTTCTAGTGTCTGCGCAGATCGAGTTTGTTTCCGAGCAATCGATAAAAATCCATGTCGATTTCCTGTTTTTTGGGCAATTTTGATAAATAATAAGAGATAGAGTCACCAAACTTGACATATAGCTTCTAAAATAGAATATATATATATATGCATTTGATGTTGGAAGAAGAGGGTTTAGGGAATATCCTAGTCGGAAGCTCCCGACTAGAACCTCGAACTTGTTTTAAAATGTGTGTTATCTGACATCCTACTCTTAGCTGCTAGATAAGAGATGTTTTAAAACAATCTTGCCTGTTTTTGAGCAAAATGAAAATTTTATATTAAATTGCTTATTTCAATAAGAATTACTTTTATCTTTAACATTTAGTTGCAGACGATTTATTATACTCTCGAAAAGTTGTGTCAGTTTGAATAAAATGGTTCTTATCAACGCCTATAATGAGTTATACGAGAAACAAATCATTTTACTCAATATGCGTATGTTGATTCGATCAATTTTAAATAGATTACGGCACTAAGCATATCTTGATTGATTTGTTTTGAATAATAGCTTGAGTTGATAATCTTGCAGAAATCTTCCGAAATTGTGCGAAATTAGAATTACTTGCCATTTTTACTTATTTTATCGGCTGGTACTCCGAGAACATTAGTGATAAAAGCCTGGGTTCTCAGATCCTCAATGTTGGCAGATTCAGCCTTTTTTGTATAGTTATGAGCATTTTTTCGCGGCTTTGCAATGAATTCAAATGGTATACCGATTGGAGGACCGATTGGCTTGATCGTATTACGCACATCAATCACAGAGTAGGTGAGAATCTCTTTGAATATGCCCTGTTTGATAGCCTCCTCTATGGCGGCGTGATTGACCAGCAAGCACCCGAGTACATGCATTGTCTCCCTCACCTGTACATTAACATGATAGACATTGTCGGCGCGCAGGAGAATAGACAGCAAGATAGTTTTAAGGGGCCGATTGCCAATCACCTTAACCAACGTACCAACTAGATCATCCAACACTCGCTCAACCTTTTTCGAGCAGAACTGACATACACTTGAGGGCTGGTGCTCCAGCAGATTATCCGATTTCGGCTGGACTTTTGGTTCTTCCTGGTCACAAAAACATGGCTCGACGGCCTCAGACGAAGTTTTCGCTTTATAGTTAGACACAACAATAATAGGCTGCTTAAGGGTAGTGGCTTTCTTAGATTCTATCGAACTATTTGTATTAGACTTAGTCTGAATTAAAAATGGTTTCTTGTATTCTAGTTGAATATTGTTATTGGATTCTTGACCTATTGGCTTGTTTCGGACACAAGTACAGGGCTTAAACGACTCCGTAGAGGTATTAAAAGGAAGCTTTACATCTATTGAATTACCTTTGTCGGGTGGCCAAATGCCTTTTAATTCCTTAGGTCCAAACAATCCGCTGGCGTTTTCTTCGCACACACGTATAAAGGATGTGCTATGGGTCGGTTTTCTATTAGCGGTGGGCTCCCTCGGCGCATTTGTTTGACAACTGATTTTATCTACATAGGAGATATCTGAGTCCTTGGGTATCTTAATAATTTTTAAACCACTTTGGGTTTTGACTGGAGGAGACAAACTGCTGGCATTGATTACTACAAACCTATCCAGCGATCGATTTCTATCGGGCTTAATATAACAATGTTGTCGAGCACTCTCCTGAACCTCTTGCCTTCTCTTACTTTTAAGTGCGTCGACGTCATTTTGAAGTTTCTCCAGCTGTGCCTCTAGTTGATCAATTGTGAAACGAATTCTGCTCAGTTGGTGGCCTAAAATCGGTATGTCAGATCTTCTGGGAGGTTTTTCATCCATTTCATATATTTCGTATTGCGTTTCTTTTTCGTAAGTTGGTCTCTTCTTTTCATAAGTTATTAATCGTTCCTTGGGCTTAGACTCTCTTTGAACATTTTCACTTTTTCTGCTGGCGGACCTTACTGTTATTATGGGTCGTTTCAAAAAGGGTATGTGTTCGAAAAAATGTTTATTCGAGACAAACTTGTTTGATTTTTTAAATGTATCGAATCTCGCCCCTGACCGTTGAGAATCCTTTGATGTATCTGGTTTTTTAATTGGTCGCTTGGAATTCGCCGATGTGTAATAGAATTCGGAAAGAGGCGTCCTTATTTCATCGTCGTAATCGTGCGTTGTTCCTCTTATTTTTTCATCCTGCGTTTTTGATTCCTCCTCTGTAGAATTATGATTGACTGGATCTAGCGAGTCCCCTTTAATCATCAAAAACGATGGTGACAATAAGATACGGTCGTCTGTCTGGGTGGCCTTGTGCTGAACAAATACGGTGTCCTTGGATGGAGCATCTGCGGTTAATTCAAAGCTCTCCTCCAAAGCAGCAATAGGATCCACCTCATCGAAAACGATATATGTTGGTCGTTTCGTGCGAAAAGTGGCAGGTACTTCATTACCACATAACTGTTCCTTTTTTACCTTATTGCAGTGACAGCTGCGGCACGAACTGCCTGCAGGTAGGCGACTCAGCGGATGGGTTGGCGATGAAGTTGATCCTGCTTGCGTTGAACTGTGCATCCAATGCAGGCGGCTCAACGCGTTTAAGTACCGCCTGTAGGTGCGAAAAGCATCTGCAAGATAGAAAAGGCAATAAATAAGATTATTCTGGAATTTACCTGCAACCGAAATCGGTCGTATTGGTCAGTGTATAAAAGAGCGTTGCTTATTAAGAGACATTCAGTCTACAATTGGACAGCAACCGAGAAAATGGTAAGTAAGCTGTCAAGAAAAATTCTTTAAGCTATTACTATATTAATTTGGAACCTATTTCTCTCCTTAGATCAATCGCCGTCAACGTTTGGAGTTCGCACTCAGCATATTGCCCTACGACCCCAAAAAGGTGCAGCTGTCGCCGGCACAAAAACAGGTGGAGCAGATAATAGCACGCCTGCGCACGGATGACAGCTCCGGCGAGGAAGAAAGCGACGATGAGAAGGCGCGCCAGCAGCACCGCGATGCCAAAGGCTTTGCCGAGCACACCATGCGGTGCATAGAGGAATCCGAAGGTGTATACACTAGGCCCAAACAAATGCTTAGTACTTTGGCTACTTTGACGCTGGCAGCTGAGAAACTGCTGAAAACACAATGCAAGCTGGATGAGGAGAACTTGGAGGAGGAACACGAGTTTCTCGACAACTCCGACTTGGTCATGGATGAGGAGGCGGCGCTGGCTAAAGTGGATCGCCGTGAGCTCAAGGAGAACAACATTCAGGCGCTGAATGAGGCACGTCTAAAGATGCTGCAGCGTTGGGAGCGCACCAAACGCAAGGCCCTGGATTTGCTCACCATCGAGATCGAGAAGGTGCAGACCATGGATCAGGAGCACGCACAGAGATTAGCTCATTTCGAGCTATTTCGCGAAGGCGCCGACGAGCACAACACATCAACGCCTAAAACAAACGAAGACGATGACGACGAGAAGGAGAACGAAAATGCCATCGAGCTGGACGAGGATGATGAGGAATATGTGCCCAACGCCGAGACCAGCGGTAAGCGCAAGCGTCTCAAGAAGCCTGTTACATCTACACCACATGCAAAGCGCAGTTGTCCGCAATTTGAATTCGATCACGATGCAAGCTCAGCTATGGTCACCATTGGGCCCAATGGCACGCAGATATCACGCACTTGCCTGCGGGGCATCAACTGGGCCATGTCTGGACCGGCCATAACCCGCAAGTTGCTTTGCGAAATCTTTGATCGAGCCACCCTCGCATTCCATACGCTCTCGGGCAAGCCGTCGCCCGCCTTCAAGGACTGCGCACGACCCAGCAAGCAGCAGCTGGACCCTCTCAAGGTAGCCGATCTGGTCTACCTGATGACGAACAGTCTGCAGATGACGCCACGCGAGGTGCGCACCGCCATAACCACCAAGTGTGCTGATGAGAACAAAATGCTACGCACACGTCTTCAACGACGTCCACGCAAGACCATCTAATAATATCTTAGTAACAAGCTTAAGACTTAGATTTAGGCCCAGTGCATCGAATTTCGAATTTATAAAATACACATCACTATTTCATTTACTATTTACCATAACTTTCGGTGTATTTTTTTTTTGGGTGGGACACCATTTTTATGCTACATTTGAGCCTTCTTTTTGCACACGGTCCGAACGTAGCTGCAACCAATTATTCACTGAGTTGAATCTGCATTTAGAAAGAGTCCATTCCAAGAATATAACCGAAAAGCTGCAACAATTCTCTAGAGCCCAAGTAATATTCTCATATTTGTTTTTGTTAAACTTCGAATTTTCAAATGTCAACTGATTGTTTTGTAGAAACTTAACTTATATACGAATCATAACTCGCGCTACTAGATACTCATGGGTATATATGTGCTCCTATTTAGATGTCTATATGTATAATAATATATATATATATATTTATATTATTTATATTTTAGGAATGATTTATTCGAAAGCCACTGATTGAAAAAGGTTGATTATTTCTATGTGTACCTTCAAACGCGTAAATGGAGACGTCTCTGACACTAATGTCTATCTATCAGTACATATTCCAGAGAAGGACATATAAGACTTCTATATCATATAGTTACCATTAGATTATTTCGCCAAAAAAAGTTATTTCTGCTTATATTTGTTAAGTTATCTTGACCAAACTAGGATTGTTGTTTTTCTTATATATATTGTATAAATAAATAAATGATGCCTTAAAATATTAATATAAATTGATGAATATAAGTCAAATATCTGTGAGCAGTTCTTTGTGCTGCTTTTCGAAATTAGTTTGCAAATCATTAAAAAGGAATTATTGTCTTAACATATTTTACAAAGATACACAGAAAATAGTATCGCACTGCGCATTTATTTTTTAAAATAATGAATGAATGAGTAAGGATTATACACAAATACTTTAACTTGCCAATAAATGCTCAATAACTGTCCAGTGTGAATGGGTTTTATTTATGCAGAATGCATTTAGTTGCAACGCACATGAAATAAATCAACAAGCATTTTCGTTAGGCGGGGTGAAGGAAGCAGCCCATAAAATGTAGCTTGCGAAGGATTTGAGCAGGACTATGCATTATTTATATATCCTATCAGCTAGTCAATATAACTCGAGTGTACAAAATATTGCGTAACTATTTTTTACACACACTCAAGCACAGACACGCACATGTTGACAAAATTGATGAGTGCTATTAGAAGAAATTTAAAGAAGCAGCAGTGATGTAAAATAAAATAAATAGAATAATCAATTTTTAGTTGTTGCTGCTGCTTCTTCTGTCTCTGCTATGACCAAAACGTGTCAATGTGTTTAACATATATTCATGGTAAATAATATATTTACTCTCTCCTGTTAAGCTCTCATATAGGGCATTCTATATTTGATAAAAAATGGTGCAAAGCATTGATGGAGGCTTCTCCGACATCATACCGAAAGTATTTATGATCAGCATGTAGCTTTGTTCATGATGTCTTTATAAGGCTTAAATTATCAGAGCCTAGTCCTGATCTAAACAATATATACAGAATCTGCCACTGGTACCATACGAATAATCGACCAGAAGTTGTGTTTTATTTTTTGTGAATAGAGAGTATATATTGTGCGGCACCCCAGTGAAATTGTTCTTTTTTGTTTTGTTGGTCAAAAACATTTTGATATGCAAATGCGATGTGTTTGCCATAAAAAGGCAGCCTGATTTGAATACATCTAGATTCGCACACAAACATATACTCACATACATACAAACGTACATACATATATTTGGGTATTTTATGTACACAAAAGATTTTGGCTAGACCTTCAGTCGCTGTGGTTTGCATAGTTTACTTTGTGTTTGCGATATGGCATAGAGCTGGCATTTTAAAGCATTTAACAAGCCGCAACTAGCAAATAAATTGGCTCAACAACCGACAAAAATGGCTATAAATAACAAAGCCGAAAACTCTGTTCCGCAGGGCATTCATCAAAGCAGAATTTATATCAATCATACGCACTGTTGGCACGCACATACACAATCCTACAATCGTACCTACGAGATGTGGCAGAAAATTGAAACATTTCATAAAAATCGGGCGAGACCATCCAACCGCACAGCGAATCGCCCCCAAGTAGACCAGCAACAATAACAAATGTCTGCAACTCTATGTATTCAATTTTAAAAAAATTTTGCTTCAAAGTTATTTATAGCTACAAAAAATAAGAATGATAAGCAATCTCCAGGGCTCGCCTAACAAATACCCTGGATTAAAGTAAGTATGTATATATTAACAGTGTGTAATATATTTATTTTTATTGAAAAGCAAATGTGCAAAAGGATTCAAAGTATACAGTATAGAGAAACAGAAGTTTATATTTCCAATTGGTTTTTGAATCAATCTTACCATGTTCTTAAATTCAAAATGAAACTAACCAGCAGATTTATAAAATGGGGCACATTTAGAGTCCTAAACAAACAGACCTTAGTGTTGGAATACTATAGTAGATAGTGCGATTGTTTCCATTAGGGTCTGATAGTTTTAACGGCAAATATTTATATGTAACACATTTTTATCAATCATTAGTTGTTGAATACATTTTCGAAGATTAAGAAAATAGAAGAATTAAGCAAAGAAGACCATTGAGGCTATCTATATCAAAATCAATTGAAACTATTGTCAAATTTAACCGCAAACATGAGTTCTGTACATGAAGAGAAAAGCCCACGAATGTGATTGATTTCGTTTAAAGTTTAAGAATGTGGTCTCGTAAAATGCAAACAAAAGACGGCTGTCAGGGATGACAGCGCCAATAATGTATGCGGTGGAAAATTAAGTCATTATTCTTGGCAGAAGTCACGTTGCTGTGGGCGCCACGTCAGCAACCTGGCCAGGAATCAGAGTCACACTTCATGGTATGCGCTCCCCGTGTCCCTGTCCCTGTCCTTGAACTCGGTTACCCTTCCCAGCTTGAAGCTGATGTTCCAGCAAAAGTGTCATCGGCAGTCGTGCGTTGCCAACCGCAGCCACCAGCCAGCAGGCGGAAACCAAGAGCCACGCGTTCTTTGGAAGCAAACAACAACAACATAGCATATGGTCCTGCTCCACTGTTCCCCTACAACCCCACTGTATCCCCCCTGTACCTCTACACTCTCTCGAAAACTGGCAATGACATTTACACTTCAGCTGCTGCTTTGCTTGGAAATTCACGTAGATGATGAATGAACGCAACGCTAAACGCTTCTAACGCGCGTCCCGTAACGTCTCTTAGCCCTTTTCTCATTCTTTGGTCCATTAACTTTTGGTATTCAAATACCGCTGTACATACCTTTTATTTATCATTAACAATACAGTTCAGAGCTTTGATGATTTTCTTCAAGCACCATTTGGCACTTTGGTTTTGGCAGCTCTTTGATATAGCGTTGTTTAACCTTTAAGTGGAAACTTATATGCCAAAGAGCCTTCCACTGTCTATTTTAATAATATGTTGATTATACTACGTACTAAGAATTATGTAATTATTATGCTCCAAATAAGTATACATTTTATACCTATAATTGAGTTACGAAATGTATAACGCATAAAAGGAAACATATTCAAACCCAAAGAATATATGTATTCTTGATTGGCATTAAAACCCGAGTCGATAGATCCCAATATATTGGGATTTTGTTTAAAAAAATTTTATTGTTGGGCAATTTTTTGAAGCACAAAAGCCAGTTAAATACAATTATTATTTGTGGTCTTAAAATCTTTTTTGTTGGCACTGAAACTAATCACATGAAAAGCGGTTTTTGTTTCTATCATATTTAGGTTATTAATTTTTCGCTTTAGTCCTGGGATAAGTCAATTAGGTGTGGCTTTATTTTTGGGTAAATGCAGCGCAAAATGAAAATTTTAATAATGCAAATGAGTTGCTGGCGGCAGCCTCAAACATTTGCCAGCTTGTTGCATGCCACCAGCATTTGCAGGCTGCCCTCCTTTGTTGTACAAGCGGCAGCTGCCTAACACCCTCTCCTTCTTTGCATAAGCGACTGCATTGACATTGGCTATGTGCCATCAGCATCATCGTCATCATCCTGGTCACCATCATCCCCATTATCGGCTTGTCGTTTACAGTTTTCAGTTATTTTGGCGTCCTTGCCGGGTCGACAACAATGGCCAACCGCTCGACAACAATCGCCGAGTTAATTGAATTGTGTTTACACTACAGGCACCAGGGAGAAATAGGTCCAGCCCCATACCCAAACTTAGACCCAGTTCCTCCTCCTGCCTCAAAGTGCTATTTGGGTTTATTTTTTGTTGTCCCCGCAACTGCAGTCAGTGTCTAAAAATTCATTTTACATGTCGCCCGACATTTACATTGCATTTTTTGTTAAGACAGCACACAGGCAGTGCACTTGCTAAATTAATTATTAGCCAACTATTCATGTTTTTGTTCATTTTTTCTAGAAGGAGACAACGATAGAGAGAGAGGGAAAGCTACTAAAAGTTGAAAGTCGCATCGAGCAAGAGTCGAAACTCATTTTACACATTTTTGTTGAAATGCTCATTAAAAGTTTTCACATAAAAGTTGCTCGCCTACTGCCTGTTTTATAGAGTTTTATTGCGTTGAAGCCTGAGTACCAAAGTTTTTGCCAATAGCCAATCGCATCGAATGCAAAATTCGCAAAAGAGCGCAACTGTTCTGGGCTTATTGTCATAACAATTAGCGTAATTACCAAACGAAGCTTACCTGGTTGCCTGGCCGCAAATCAATGCCCAAACGACACCCAAAGCTCGTCTAATCTAATCAACTGCCTGCCACTAGATGGGCATGCTAATAGCTCTGAGTACCAACAACATTTCCCCCTTCGGAGAATTGTCTTTTGTTTGTTGCTTTCAATTAGAAAGTTTTGTTATGTTTATGGCCGAATGTATAGCGTTTCAACAACGCTAATGCGCCAATTGGCTGCCGGACAGACAGGGACATGCCTCCACTTTCCACACGGCTTCCCTTTCCTATTCCTTCTTTTGATACCCTGACAAAGAGCATTATAATTGTGTCGATTATGTCATGTCTGTCTGCTTGTCTGTAATGTTCTATGGAAGTGATATACAATTTTGTAAATGCTAGTTAGTTTAAGATAAATATAGTAGGAGATTTATAAGCAAACAACACTTTACTTTCTAAGCCATACAATCCCTTTTGGTCTTATCTATTGGTAATTATTCTATAAATTGACCTTAAAGTAACATTGTAACACATTTGCAAACTGTATACAGAATGATTTTAAACACCCTCTTTAATATATTATTTATTTTTTAGAAATACTATAAAAAGATATTTTATA